TGGCTCACTGCAGCCTCAAACTCCTGGGCTCAAGGGATCCTCCCACCTCAGCCTCTTGAGTAGCTGGCATCACAGGTGTGCACTACCATGCCCAGCCTATTTATTTATTTGTTTGTTTATTTTTAGAGACAGGGTCTTGCTATGTTGCCCAGGCTTTTATTGTTTACAAAATCAAGTGTATTTGTGTAACTGGGAGAGATGGGGAGACTTGTAGAGGCTCTACTTGACCAAAGCTAAAATCTGTTCTCTTTTCCATCTGAGAAGGCTGACTGAAGCTGATATGACTTCTAGGAAGTGACTTGAGGTTGATCCTCTGGGCATCCTCCATGCCAAAGTGTTATCATGAGAAATCAGTCCAACGGGAGTGAGATTTGAATCCTCTAGAAGGATTAAGGCAGGGGAAAAGTATCTGGACAGTATCCCCTTATATGGAATTAATAAACTAAGTTTTTACAGTATAACTCGCCGTAGTTATGAGAGACAAGATGCTGTGTAACAATTAACAGTTACTCATTCTTCCTAAAACAACTGTATTATCAGTTTCATTGGCTTTCTAGTGTTTTAAACCTTGTATGTGATATTAAATTTTAGAATCACTGTCCCATCCCCCAGCAGAGTGCTAAACACATCTTTGGAACTCTGAAAAATGTTCATAGTTATAATTTATCCTTAGGTACCAGCGTCGTGCCAAGAGCTTTCTGTCCAAACACAAATCTTACCTTATTTAATCATTCATTTAGTTCATTTAAATATTTTATCTGTCACCCCGTTTTTCTTGTTGGACTTGAAAAAATGAGATTCTATATCCAAAAATGCCTTAGGAGTGCAAACTATGCTATAAAAAGTCAAAGGGGAAAAAAAGGCAAAGGAGCACTTGTATCTCTGTGATTGGCTTGTATGTAATCTTAAAACTACCATTGACTCCAGATCTTTTTGTTAAGCACTTGGCAAAGTCTTCTATAGGCAGTGAAAAGATTAAGGCATGCATCTCTGGGGCTGAATATAAATAAAGTATAGATTTCCTTTTCCTTCTTAAATTTGAAAAGCATACTTCTTGTGATCCAAGCCATTGATTAAAATGCTGATGGGGCAGAATTTTATAACAGACTGCTTGACACCTCCTTCTAGGATTGCTGCAGCCCATGCAATCATTAGACATGGAAAATATGACAGGAAAAGTAATTTGGAATCAAATCACAAAATGTCTAGAATGTCATATTAAGGAGTTTAGACTAATATTATTCTCTGGTTACTAAGGAGTACATAATACCATACTCTTGAATAGGGTAGTGACCTGATTGTTTCAGAAGCAAACTAGAACACTGAAGAAGATAGGAAGATCAGAGGTTACAGCAGTGGAGGCCACTTAGTAGGCTATATAACAGACAAGTTCTGATGAGGGTACTTAGAAAGAGATCTACATAGAGGCAGAAAAAGTTACAAACCAAATCTACAGGGCCAAACAAATAATGCAAATAAGTTAGCAGGCCACATGAAGAGCACATGTCCCATCTAAGGGGCATCCACTTCTCAGCTTCAGCAGTTGTTGCCATACAGGGATGTAGGAATATTGCTATCCCATCTTTAGGCTTTTCAAAATAAGCAAGAAATTTAGATTATATGTAAAAACCTCTTTATTTTAAAATTTGGCTTCGTTTTTCAAAAATCCTAGACAGCCAAAATAAAACACATACGCAGCCAGATGTAGTTAATAAGATGCCAGCTTTACAATCTGTAGCTTTTAGCTTCTGGTTGTGAATTCTTGTTCTGTGGTATAGTAAGGAAAATGCCTGAACTCGGAGGCTTGAAAGATCTGGATTTGAATCTTGGCTCATCCTGAGATTTTTTTTTTTTTTTTTTTAAGTCTTGACGTTAATGTTTTTATCTCTTACTGCCCAGGCTGGAGAGCAATGGCATGATCTCAGCTCACTGCAACCTCTGCCTCCCAGGTTCCAGAGATTCTTCTGCCTCAGCCTTACCAGTATCTGGGAATACAGTCATGCACTACTACACCTGGCTAATTTTTGTAGTTTTAGTAGAGACAGGGTTTCGCCATGTTGGCCAGGTTAGTCTCAAACTCCTGACCTCAAATGATCCGCCCTCCTCGGCCTCCCAAAGTACTGGGACTACAGATGCTAACCACCATGCCTGGCCTCATCCTGAGATCTTAAATGAATGTTTAACTGTCTGAATTTTTATTTTTCTACTCTAAACTGGTGATAACTAAAGATGAAATTATTCATATAAAGCACCTAACATACTACCTGGCATATAGTAAGTGCACAGAGAGTATTTGTTGAATGAAAGACAGGACATGAATTCAACTATAAATTGAACGTCTACTTCCTCAGTCACTGGATATACATTGACAGATAAAACAGACAGAATCTCTGTGCTCACCGAGCTTAGTCCAGGTCCTCCAGCTGGTAAATGGCAAAACCCATGGTAATGCATGTCAGCATCCTCCACCTTTGGGGTTGGAAGTCACAGGGCATACTTGATTATGTTGTTTTTTAGTGGACCCTAATATTTTCATTTAGGCAAGTGCTTTCTAGCCTGAAGATAGGAATTAGAATACTTTTGGTAAGATACAGCCTAATAATGTAATTGAGAAAAGAATGGAAAATACAAAACTCATGACTCATTGTGAATAACAAAAGCAAAGACACTATTAACTATGTGTCCCTAAAAAGACCTTTATAAATAGATTATTATTCTAGTTTAATTTTGCTTAGATGGCACTGTTTCCTTTGTATTAGCCAGCATTGTTAGCATTTTTGAGAAGTCATAGGTTTGATGAGGATTTGTGGAGGAGCTGCTGAATTACAGAAGAAATTATTATGGCAGAAAATCAATTATGTGGTGCTATAAATACTTGATTCGGTAACTCAGCAAATTCCCTTTATGTCCAAAGTGCAAGCATTTTGTACCTAACTCAAAAGGTCTGTTTTTAATTTCTTCAGCTTTGCAGTTGTTCCACTTTGCCACTGATAGAGTTTTACATGATAAGAGAGACATAAAGAGAGGTCACTTTCAGAGGGAGTTTTAAGGGTTGGGGAGATGAAAGCATGGGGATGACCCTTAGTGATAGGCACGTTTCAGTGTTGATAGCAGGAGATTACCTGGAAGAAGTCAGAGAAAAATCTGGAATGACTGTGGAGTTAGCTGGTTTTATTATACTCTTGAGTGACATTTCCAGCTAATAAAATTAGAAATAAAATTATAATCTTAGAAGAGAGCCTCTGGGAAATATGTAGTTAACCTTTTGGAATTTTACAAGTATTGTATGAAACTCCGATACCTATATTAAGGTGCTTTAACCTGGCATTTGAATTGATGCTAAGATGTGCAAGACATGGTCTCTGCCCTTAAAGGCTATTAAGAGAGAAACTATATGTACACGAATTTTTAAAAATTATTTAGGTTTAATTAATAGTTTAATGTTTGGTTTTTAAAACCTAATTTTTGGCGTTTTAAAAATATTCATTATCTCTTAATGAGCATACAAAAATAGTAACAACATAGGAACTTATTTAACATAATACTTTCCCTTATAAAATAGAGTATTTTTTTTTTAATCTACCTTAGGCTGGGCGTGGTGGCTCACGCCTGTAATTCCAACACTTTGGGAGGCTGAGGTGGGCTTATCACAAGGTCAGGAGTTTAAGACCAGCCTGGCCAACATAGTGAAACCCCTTCTCTACTAAAAATACAAAAAATTAGCCAGGCGTGGTGGCAGGAGCCTGTAAAAGCAGGAGAATCACTTGAACCCAGGAGGCAGAGGTTGCATTGAGCTGAGATTGCACTATTGCACTCCAGCCTAGGTGACAGAGCAAGACTCTGTCTCATAAATAAATAAATAAATACTCTACATTGATCATCTTTGTTGTCATAGAAATACTAACACTTTTTATTGTCATTGTGGCTGCTATTTTATCTTGTATAAGCCTAAGAAAGGTTCTAGTATAGCATTTCAGCACATTCTAGAGCAAAAAATAGTCCTAAGTGTAATACAAAGTAGAATGAAATAAATGTTAAAGAAGTATAAACAATGTTCTAGACCAGGACAGTGGCTCACACCTGTAATTGTAGCACTTTGGAAGGCCTAGATGGGTGGATTGCTTGAGGTCAGTAGTTTGAAACCAGCCTGGCCAACATGGTGAAACCCTGTCTCTATTAAAAATACAAAAATTCGGTGGCTCAAGCCTGTAATCCCAGCACTTTGGGAGGCCGAGGCGGGTGGATCACGAGGTCAAGAGATCGAGACCATCCTGGTCAACATGGTGAAACCCCGTCTCTACTGAAAATACAAAAAATTAGCTGGGCATGGTGGCGCGTGCCTGTAATCCCAGCAACTCAGTAGGCTGAGGCAGGAGAATTGCCTGAACCCAGGAGACGGAGGTTGCGGTGAGCCGAGATCGCGCCATTGCACTCCAGCCTGGGTAACAAGAGCGAAACTCCGTCTCAAAAAAAAAAAAAAAAATACAAAAATTAACCTGGCATGGTGGTGGGCACTTGTAATCTCAGCTACTCAGGAGGCTGAGGCAGGAGAATTGCTTGAACCAAGGAGGCAGAGGTTGCAGGGAGCCCAGGTCGCCTCACTGCACTCCAGCCTGGGTAACAGAGCAAGACTCCGTCTCAAAAAACAACAGTAACAACAACAAAGTTCTACATAAGATAGCATCATAGGGCAGGGCATGGTGGCTCACGCCTGTAATCCCAACACTTTGGGAGGCCAACGTGGACAGATCACAAAATCAAGAGTTCAAGACTAGCCTGGCCAACATGGTGAAACCCCATCTCTACTAAGAATACAAAAATAAGCCGGGTGTGGTGGTGCGTGCCTATAATCCCAGCTACTGGGGAGGCCGAGGCAGGAGAATCACTGGAACCTGGGAGGCAGAGGTTGCAGTGAGCTGAGAGTACACCACTGCACTCCAGCCTGGGTGACAGAGCAAGACTCCATCTTGGTAAAAAAAAAAAAAAAAAAAAAGATAGTGTTGTAGTCTGCCCAGACTGCACAGACTGGGGGATTTAACAAAAGAAATTTATTTTCTCAAGATCAAGGTTCTAGCCAACTCACTTTCTGGGGAAGGCTCTCTTTCTCAGTTGCAGATGGCTGCCTTATCACTATGTCATGTGGCCTTTCTTCAGTATGTGGGGAGAGGGGGAGAGAGAGCGAAAGAGCAAGCGAGTGAGCAAGAACAAGCCCTCTATCTCAGGATACTAATCCTGTTGGATCAGGGCCACACCCTTATGATCTCATACAATCTTAATTACTTTACTACAAATATGACTACACCAGAGATTAGGGTTTCAACATATGAGTTTGAGGGGGACACAAACATTCAGTTTATAACAGATGGTAAATAAAGAGGGAGCAACCAGGGAGGGCATTTGAAAGAGGTAGTATCTGACTAGGCTCTTGGAGAATGGATTTTAACCATTAGAGATTGTAAGGAGGGATTCCAAGTAGATGAAACAGCTTGACCAATGTCATAACAGGGAGAAAGAAAAGAGTATGTTCAGTACGCAGAGCATTCAGCTAATTCACCTGCGGGATATACCTCTAGGAGTGAATAGTATTCAGGAAGTTGAGAAAGGGAAGATGTAACTAGATTGTTGAATACCTTGTAAAACATCCGTTGCTGGTGTCACCACTCATCTATCTAGCCATATGACCCTTGTGTTTCTTTACTTCTGTTTATCTCAGCATCCCCGTGTATTAGTAGAAAAAAATCTCTGAAGTTTATTCTAACTCAGTGAGTCTACACTTAATAACAAGTAAGTGATTTAAGTTTAATGAGTGTTATGTGTTTGTGTGTGCCTGCATACTTTCATATTTGTGTCTCACACCAGCAGATGTGCAGTTTCTGCAAATGTTTGATAATAGGTAGAAAAATCTATTTTGGCTTTCTAAGTTGGATTTCAATTTCTCCCACCCCTCCACGAATTGGGAACCTTATTCAGCATATTTTAAGCACCCAACCTGGACCTTGCAGGGAGGATAGATTAGGCAAATACAGAAGATATATGGCTTCCCCTGCCTTGTTCCATACCCTTTTTCTGACTTCACTGGCCCTGTTACTTTCTCCTGCTTTTGACTTGATTTCCCTCATATCTGATCTTTCTACCCTGTTATGGAAACTTAATCCCGAAGCCTTCTTTCATATTCAGTTATAGACAATTGGGTAAAGGTACCCTCAAGCCTGCAGTAACATTTGCTTTTTATTAGGAAGTAGGCCTTAAACTATACAAATGAAACATAAATAGCAAACTTCTAGATGTTAATAAATAGAGAAGCTAGTAGGTAGGAGGAAGGGGGATTTTATGATGTTCCTAAAAGCCTTAGAAGTGGAGCTTGAAAACCATTTCCAGTCCCAGAACCATTTAATGTAACTTTACATCTATTTATTCTTAGCACTGGACCTGTCTTGGTTATTTTTAGCCAGACAATTACTGCTGTTTACTCATTTTCTAGAATTCTAGGCATAATTATTGATTTACCCATAAAAATACTTGGAGAACTTTGACCCAGTCCATATAATTTGATAGATAATTCTTCCTCCTTGGAAATGGTCACTAGGTAAACAGCTTGTCTCTCATTCTAGAGGTTCAGTCTTAATGAATCTTTCCAAAATAAATAAGCTCTAGAATTAAAGTTGAAGAGCTGTTTTCCTCAGAAACAGAGGCATATTTCTCCTCAATAAATAGATGTTCTTATAATCACCTTACAGTGCTTAGTTTTTTTTTTTCAATAATAGATTGGTCTCCTTCTTTCTCTTCATACAGTATTTTTACTTTTTGTACTATTGGCTCATCAAGCTTGATAGGTTAGTCTACTTTTATCAAATGCATATGCAAGTCAAGAGTTGTTATTTTAATAATAAACCTAAACTAGGAGCTTAGGTGACTCATCTGATAATATTCGGTAAGTAAGAGGCTCTTCAAGGCCCAACCCTGTATTTACTTCTTTGTGGCCTCCACTTTGTGTAGGCACCACCTCAGTGAATCACACTGGCGGGCTGTCACTCATTCTCAGAAGACCACAACATCAAAATAAAACCCTTAGAAAGTATAGGCGCTGAAGTAACAGTTACAGTTTAAAGGCACCTACGGTTGACTGTATCATGAAGGCAACCTACAATTTGAGTCTTTATTTGGTCATTGACAAGAGTCTTAAGTTTTTTAGTCAAAACTTCAGTGAAATTTAGAAATTTTGGCCCCAAGATATTGATTTTCTTGTTTATATGAATGCTTTTAAGACTTTGCTGTTTATGATAATTTTTTAGGGGTCTCTGGAAAAGTTGAGTAGACAGAAACTAAGGAAGGAAGAGATGTACTGTCAAACTGTAATTCAATAGTACTGTGATTTCTGCCTTCATGTAGTAAGAAGTGGAAAGTAGTATAAGGAGATTCGAACCTTCCCGGCCTCTTTGCAGAGAATCAAGACTAAGACATGGAACAGTGGATTTGAAAGCTATGGCAGCTCCAACTATGGGGGAGCCAGCGGCTACACACAGTCCCCATGGGACTTTGGATCACCCAGACCTTCTCAGGCCGAAAAGAAACCAAGAGCCTCAGCCTAGCACATTGTACCCTGTACTATATCTCAGCTGCTTTCTGCCACTTTGGTTGATGAAGGGTTCAGAAGTGGGAATGTTGAGATTTCACACGTCACTATTGTGGGGATCATCAGACAGGCAGAGAAAGCTCCAACCAGCATTGTTCACAAAATAGATGACATGACAGCTCCACCCATAGATGTTTGCCATTGGGTTGACACAGATCACGCCAGCAGTGAAAACACTGTGGTTCCTCCAGAAACATGTGAAAGTGGCAGGCCACCTGAGATCTTTTCAGAATAAAAAGAGCCTGGTAGCCTTTAAGATCATGCCCCTGGAGGATATGAATGAGTTCACCGCACGTATTCTAGAAGTGATTAATGCACACATGATACTAAGCAAAGCTAATAGCTAGCCCTCAGCAGGGAGAGCACCTATCAGCAATCTAGGAATGAGTGAAGCAGGGAACTTTGGTGGGAATAGCTTTATGTCAGCAAATGGCCTCACTGTGGCCCAAAACCAGGTGTTGAATTTGATTAAGGCTTGTCCAGGACCTGAAGGGTTGAACTTTCAAGATCTCAAGAACCAGCTGAAACACATGTCTGTATCCTCAATCGAGCAAGCTGTGGCTTTTCTGAGCAATGAGGGGCCTATCTATTCTACTGTGGATGATGATCATTTTAAATCCACAGATGCAGAATAACTGGATCTAACTGGATGCCTGAGATATTTTACAGCTGGACCTAGTTTCACAGTCTCTTGTCTGCAGCTCTGCATATGTTTGGTCAGGTGGCTTCTAGGAAGTAGGTTTCATGTATAAAAGATCTCTACTGACGTCCTTTTGAAACCTACTGCTCTTCTGTTTTGTTTTGTTTGAACTTCAAAGGGAGATGAACAATTGACAGGAATGCAATCTAGGGTGGGATCTCTTGAGGAAGTTACAAATAAGCTTCTTACAACATCAAGATAGATGGAATTGGAACGACGCTACCAGGAGAGTACTTACATAGTGCTCGGGAGTTTCTCTTTTGAAAATATTTCCTGCTGAAAGAAGATGAGCAGAACCACGGCCTTGTAGGCAGAGCCCTAACCAAGTAACCTGCTGGCCTCTGCCTGTTTTTATTTCCCAGTTTGGTTGTGTGGCATTACTTTCTGAATTGCACTTTCCTGCTTGTCATGACTGCTGCTTGTCGTGACGATACGTTTCTGTGAACATGAAGTTATGTGGTGGTGCCTCCAGGGGCAGAGGAAAGGGAGTGTTACTGCGTTTTGTACAAAATAAATACATTCACATGTTTAATAAAACAGTTCTATTGTAGTAACTTGTTAAAAAAAATAGTATAAGGAATATGTTTTAGAGTCACTATTATGTACTTGGCAATAAAAATTCAAGTTAAAAATCACTTAGAATTAGAGCTTCCTAATTGTGCTTTTCCTCTAGATTCTCTTTGTCGTTAGAGTAGTCTCTAAGATAGTAATAACATTATCCAGATTTAATCAGAGGATTTAAACTCTAAAGTTCAGTCACACAAGGAAAGAAATATGCTCTTTCAAGGGGCTTACCTTTGTCTTTTCTTTAAATCCTAATATAGTGCTGACCTACTAAATGAAAGACCTTTGGAGCTAATTGATAGTCAGCTTTCTAGGTATATGCCACCTCACTGCCCATGCAGATCCCTAAAACTGCTCACTGTTCCTCTACCCAGGCAGGTGCTTCTGTTTTCCAGAGTTATCTATGAGTGCCTACGTGGGTTTTCTGCTGTTGTACCGTGACCTTGTGCAGCTATGCTGCTGCCCCCACTATCTCTTGAGCCCCTGACTGCTGCTTCTGTTTACTAAATACATATTAAGTGGATCTTCTCACCTTCACATGGTAGAGCTACCCTGAAATGAAGTTAGCACCATACATCATAATCTTCTTAGCTTTGTTTCCATAATATATCTTCTGAATTGTCAGACTGTGGTGAATGACTATAACCACCATTTGTGGTTGTGAACCAATATTTTTATACTGTACTAATCCATTTCACTTGAAACCTTTGTAACGAACTGCATAGAGCATTTTTAGTAATTGTTTTGAACTCCCTGAGAAAACTCACCAAGTCCTAGAAAGGCAGTTTTTCTTTCACCTCTGATAAAATGGAATCCAAGACTCCTTAGCGTCATAAAAACACATTTTTAGAGTGCCTAATCTGTTATTTTTATCCAGAACAATATTCTGTTCCAACAGCAGAGGACATATGCTGTTTTGAGGAAACATGTAGCCTCTTTGTATTTGTTCCCCCATCTCTGAAATCTCCCAAGCCACTGGGGCTTGGACATTGGCACCAGTAATTGTTAGTTCCTCTTCCATCCTCACTTGTTATACCTTGTTATAAATTTGCAATTCCTTCACTCTATATCTAATTTTAAAACAGTTTGCCTAGAATAATGCCTTTGCTTCAGGAGAAATTATGCCAGTACTAATGAACTAGGAGAAAGAGATAGTGTAGATCATCTACTTTGAGTGGTAAAAGCCCAGGGAACAGCCTCTTTTGAGCTAGATTTCAGTTAATGGCTATATTTACAGGAAAATATCCTAATGGCAGAGGTAAAAGAAAAAGAGATTGAGGCCAAATCAAAGCCTTTCAATATCAGCAAAACTTTACAGTATCACTGTTAATTTTCAATTTCATCTAGGGTTAAAACCTAGACATTTCAAGTTGCAAATCTTATTTTTGTCATTTTCCTGCCATGGTAAGTATAATAAACACAATCAGCTTTTATTTGAGGGTTTTGTAAGACTTTGGGTTCATAAGTTCTCACCTAGGAACAAAGATTCAAGCAGTAAAGATTCAGTAGATTGTGTTGCATCTTACTTCAGCCTACATATTCTGGAAGATTTGGAGTTTAAATTTGTTAGTCTTCTGAAATCTCTATTAAGTATTGGTGATGTAGGAGTTTTCTTCACCCCTTTTTCAGACTTGTGACAGGGGCAAATGTTTATTCTGCCTTCTGTGCTCAGCCCCTTGCAGGTGGGAGCACTTGAGCAAACAAGTGTAATAGGCTCCAGCTGACTGCTCCGGGTGTGGGCAGAGCAAGTTCTGTGCAGGGCCCACAGCCAGAACAGGTGTGAGCAAGCAAATGCAGATCTGGCTGGCCGCTCCAGGCATCAGCAGGAGCAAGCTAAATGCAGCAGTGCCCAGGTGACGGGTGCCTGTGACCTTGAAGCCCCAGAGGGGATGTTACAGTGCTCCTTTAGTTCTGCCATCTGAAGACGGATGTGTGTTAACAGCTCACTTGCCCTCTGCAGGCAAGGGCAAAGGGTGCAACAGCCTTTTTGGGTACCCGCATTTGGTGGGTCCCAAGCTCTTGTCCAGCATGCAAGAAGAAAGAGGTCACACAGTCATTTGAAGGATGGTGAAGGCAGAGAATTTTATTGAGTGGTGGAAATGGCTGTCAGCAGAGAAGGGAGTTGGAGAGGGAATGGGAAGGGCAGGTAGTCTTCTCCAAAATCAGATTGTCTTCTCCCTGAAATCCAGCCGTCTATTCCCCAAAGTCAAGCTGTCTCTTTCCCTGAGTCTGGCCATCTCTCCTCTCTACCAACTGAGTCTGGGGTCTTTATAGGCACAGCATGGGTGTGGGGTGCCCTGTAGGTCATTTTGGAAAAGGCAACATTAGATTGGTAAAAAGAAATTACTCAAAGAACCACTGAGGAGAGAGCGGGCAAACAGGAATAGAAGTTTTCACTTTGGGCTGCAGGTTTCAGGCTACTTTGGCTTGAGGGTGGGGTTTCACCAGGGACCTGCCCTATCTGCCTCAGTATTTGGCTGCCTCCTGCTGCTCTCCTTGGGGGTAAATACTATAGCTATGGCTGCTAGGCAGTGAAGAACTCTGCATGACATAACAGAGATGTTTCTAAGTCACTCAAGAGCTCACATACTGTGTAAGAACAGAATTCTAAGATGTTGAAAGAACTTTTAACACCGGCTTCAAGGTCATTGTAATAGTTATTAACCTATCCACCAACTTAATCTAAACATATTTATTTTTTTTATCTCACTTCACTTGTAAAACAAATTTTGAAAGAATATGCTTCTTTGAAAGGTAAATAAAGAAGTTATTTTCTATTTAATTTTTATTTGATATGTAATAACCACATTTTAAAATGTTTTCTAATTTAAGGCTTTTTAGTTAATACACATTTCAGAAATGTAAAGATTACAGTTTATTATAAAAACAGGTTCCTGTTCTTTTATGATGTACTTTTCAGACAATTATGTTGAACTCTTTAGAGGTTTCTTTTGGTATTTGGCTTAGCATTTCTAAGTAATATACTTTTACTGCTGTTTCTTAATTTTACAATGTTAGACATTATGAATTGACTTGGAATATGAAGATTTAGGTCTCTTACCCCTACCCATCCTCTTATAAATTTCTCCTTTCTTCCTTTCCATGCACACACATGCCCCACCTATTAAGAAGTCCAATGTCATTCTGATTTATAATCCTTTGTATGTTTCCATTTTTATGTCTGTGCATCCTTATAAGATTTCCCTTTATGGATTAAGTGTTTATAATGATATGCCTTGATGTAGGTCTTTTTCATTCATTGTGCTAGGCATTAGATGGCTCTTTCATTTTGAAAATCTGTGCACTCTAGTTCTGGAAAATATTAAAATATTTGATTATTTTTTCGTCTCAATTTTTTTTTTTGTTTTGTTTCTCTTTCTTGAACTCCTAATAGCTGGATACTAATAGGACTAATACTCCAATTTTTTCCAAACATTTTGTTGTAAAACTTTTCAAGCATACAGAAAAATTGAAAAAAATTTCACAGTGAACATCCGTCAACCTGCTATTTGGAGTCTAGCATTAACATTTTTTTCTGTCTTTTCTTTATATAAACCTATTCATTTATTAATCCATTTTAATTTTTAAGTATTTCAAGTAAATTATAGTCATTATGTAATTTCATTATTCCAGTGTCCATATCATTTACTAGAGTTTGTAACTAGAATTGTAGCTAGGGTTTACATTTTCTTCTTTTGAGATAAAATTTACATGCAGTGAAATGTATAAAACTTATGTGTGCATTTTATTAAGTTTTTTAGTAGCTTTATTAAAGTATAATTGTAACATGCAGTAAACTGTACATGTTTAACTTTACAGTCTGATGAGTTTTGACGTATGTGTACAACCAGGGAGCCATCACCACAATCAGTATAGTAAATGTATGTGTCACTCCCAAAATTCCCTCATGTCCCGTTGTATTCTCTCCATTCTACCCATCTCCAGTTTGCACCTCACCCCAGCCCCATTGATCTGCTGTCACTACAGATTAGTTAGCATTTACTAGAGTTAGGTATAGATGTAATTATACATTATTGTGATCTTTTTGTTGTAGTTTTTCACTCAGCATAATAATTTTCTGATTCATTTATGTTGAACATATCAATAGTTCATTTTTTGCCAGGCGCAGTGGCTCACACTTGTAATCCCAGCACTTTGGGATGCTGAGGTGGGTGGATCATGAGGTCAGGAGTTCAAGACCAGCCTGGCCAATATGATGAAACCCCATCTCTACTGAAAATAAAAAAATTAGCTTGGTGTGGTGGCATGCACCTGTAGTCCCAGCTGCTTGGGAGTCTGAGGCAGGAGAATCGCTTGAACCCAGGAGGCAGAGGTTGCAGTGAGCCAAGATCGAACCACTGCACTCCAGCCTGGGTGACTGAGCAAGATTCTGTCTCAAAAAAAAAAAAAAGTTAATTTCTTTTTATTGCTAAGTAGTATTCTGTGATATAAATATACCACAATTTGTTAATCCACTAACCTGTTGGCAAAAATTTTGGTTGTTTCCAGATTTTGATTATACAGATAAAGCTACTATGAATAGTTGTATGCAAGCTTTATATGGATATATATTTCATTTTTTCTTGGGCAAATACCTGGGAATGAAATGGCTAGATCATATAGTAAGTATATGTTTAACTCTTTAAGAAGTAAAGAAAGCTTAAAAAACACTTTTTTTTTTTTTTCTTTTTGAGACAGAGTCTCGATCTGTCACCCAGGCTGGAGTGCCATGGCGTGATCTTGTCTCACTGCAACTTACGCCTCCTGGATTCAAGCCATTGTTCTGCCTCAGCCTTCCAAGTAGCTGAGACTACAGGCATGTGCCACCACAGCTGGCCAACTTTTGTATTTTAAGTAGAGACAAGGTTTCACTATGTGGCCAGGTAGGTTGTGAACTCCTGACCTCAAGTGATCCACCCACCTCAGCCTCCCAAAGTGCTGGGATTATAGGCATGAGCCTTCACACCCAGCCAAAAATTCCTTTATTGCTGCCATTTTCTGTTT